TAAAAATATTGGTTTAAAAAAACCAAACAGTAAGCATTAAATCACATTGTATTGGTATTTAGACAAGCAATTTTGTTAAATTGTTTCGTTTATAAACGCTATTACCAGGGGTGCACATAACTATTTTGCCCAGGTTCTCAAAGGAGCACCTGGAGATGTTGCTTGGTGCGCATCCTTAAAATGAAATAAACCGGACCTTTTGAGGGGTACTTGACTTTATGAATGGGGGGGGGGAGGAGGTGCGCTAGTGAGCATGCAGCAGGGTTACTGTGCGGAGCGCATAAAGCAGACCCTTCACGCGATAGCGAGGGGTAGAGCGAGGAATCGCAGATGCCGTCGTGCTCGCGGACAGATTAAAAACATTAAACCTAAATGGGTCGCGAATTATACTTTGGCGGGCGTTAATATACCTGGGCGGCCCGCCCAAATAAAGTCTGTGGGAAACCCTGCTATCTCTCTCTCTTCTCTTTTCTCTCTCTCATTTCTCTTTTCTCTCTCTCTCTCAATGTTGGTGCGCAAAGCGCCTTTTTTCAAATGATCCGGTGCTCCATTTTGGTGGGGGTTCGTGAGGCGGTTGTCGCTGGTGGATGAAAAGCAAACAGCTGATTGTTGCGGAGTAGAGCGCAGCAAGCAGGCTCCCGTGCAGGCTCCCGTGCAGGCTCCCGTGCGCTACAGACTTTCTCACCACCTAACCATTCGCCAAAATGTTTTAAAAACCAGCGGTAACCGGCCAAGCGCCGGGCAAAAAACAATCCTCAAATAAAAGAAAGTCACCGGAAGAGTTAAAGGAGAGTGAGAAGAAGAGGGAGAGAAAGTTTCAGCCACACTGGCTTGATCGATGGAGTTGGCTTCAATGCGATGCCAATATAAAGGTCTTTTGTCGGCTCTGTACATCAATGCCGACCCATGCTGACAAGTAAGTGAAGAGTAGAACAAATATAAAGGTATATTGGCTTCAGGGAAATGTCCCAGCAGTTGAGGAGAATGAAGGTTCTAATCTATTACATAGCCGTTACATGTCTGACTCCTGACGGCAGGAAGCGCATTATACAAATAATAATACTCTTAGCAGAAATGTCACCCTCCTTTTTTTCTTTAACAATGACCACAATATAATAATTTTAATTAACAAAATATGAACAATTGAGGAAAATGAGGAAGAACTGATGATTCAAATGTTGTAGTAATGTAGTTTGTGCATAAATTACTATGTGTTCAATTTCTTCATTATTAGAGTCGATCTGTTTTCTTAATGTCTACCCCTGTATTATGTGTGTAGGGTTTTGTCTTACATATTTTGTACCTCTCTCAGAGCGCGGGGACTTTTGAGGTAGTGGACAAGCCGACCTCATCTTACCAGAAAACCAAACCTACGGAGGCCGGTAAGAGTTCATCATCATCATCTGTGTTTGAGTCACAACTTTATTGAACGTGTGAAATGAACAGATTATGAGACGATGAGCAATTTAACATATGAGCAAAACAATAATTGTATGTTTCTTCGTGGCTGTTTGTAGTTATTATGTGTCTTTGCAGATGTTTTACAGCTCTGTCGTCTTTTTGCATTTCCTTCTAGAGATGTTATTCCTCGTTGTTGTTGGTGTTGTTGTTGTTGTTGTTGTTGTCATATCTCCCTATCATCCATCCATGATAATGACTCCATTTCTTCCCTCTCCGATCCCCCCCTCCTCAGCGGCCAACAGCACAGGAAGCATCAAGGCTCGCTTCGAGAACATCGCCAAGCAGAAGGAGGAGGAGGACAGGAAGCGAGCGGAGGAGGAGCGAGCCAAGCGCCAGGTGAAGGAGAAGCAGGAGCAGGAGGAGGCGCGTCGTCAAATTGAGGAAAGGCCCAAATCCCCGTCTCCCAAAGCCCCGTCTCCCAAAGTCCCGTCTCCCAAAGCCCCGTCTCCCGTCCCAGCTGCGAGTCCCAGTCCCTCCCCCAGCCCGACCCCGCCAGTGCAGCCCGCCGTCCCCACATACCAGGTGAGGCTCATCGAATTATCCCAAAAAAAGTGCCTATTGAAGCCTCTAGAGTTTTATGAAGAAAATAGCGCTTTCTGAACGTGTGGAAAAGTCAAGTTTTGTGTAGAATGTTTTTGGGAGTGCGTTTCAGGCCCTTTGGAGTCGATTGGTGTTGCTTTTGTGACTACGATAGATTTTTGGAGATGGTTGGGTTAAGGGGCTCTTTACCACTTGGAGTCGAGTTTAACATTTGAATATCTTGCGCTACGAGGTGGGCATCCATATAGTTGTCGATCTTCTTGGGTAAACGATGACCTCCTAATATCATTAGCAGCCGTAAATTAGTAATCGTTGAAAAATGAAATGAAACGGTTTATCTGTTTGTGTCGTCAGAACACAGAGGAGGCGTCCCGACATGATGCTGCTGGAGAGGAGAAGGGAGAGCAGGAGAACCAGGAGAACCAGGAGGATCTGTACCAGAACCCCGAGGAGACGACCGCCACACCAGAAGCAGCAGCAGGAGGTGAGAGATCAGTTAGAATTGGTGTTTGAAACCCTCGTTATTGGCCACACATGTTCATGCACTCGGCACAGATAGTGACATTTGTTCACCTCTTTTACCCATCCGAGTAAAAAGAGGTGAACCTCGCTCCATCTATTGTGCAAAACCCTCTTCTTCATGTCTCTTCTACATCAACATGTGTCCCCTCTTCTTCATGTCTCTTCTACATCAACATGTGTCCCCTCTTCATGTTCTTCTACATCAACATGTGTCCCCTCTTCTTCATGTTCTTCTACATCAACATGTGTCCCCTCTTCTTCATGTCTCTTCTACATCAACATGTGTCCCCTCTTCCTCATGTCTCTTCTACATCAACATGTGTCCCCTCTTCTTCATGTCTCTTCTACATCAACATGTGTCCCTCTTCTTCATGTCTCTTCTACATCAACATGTGTCCCCTCTTCTTCATGTCTCTTCTACATCAACATGTGTCCCCTTCTTCATGTCTCTTCTACATCAACATGTGTCCCCTCTTCTTCATGTCTCTTCTACATCAACATGTGTCCCCTCTTCTTCATGTCTCTTCTACATCAACATGTGTCCCCTCTTCTTCATGTCTCTTCTACATCAACAGTGTCCCCTCTTCTCATGTCTCTTCTACATCAACATGTGTCCCCTCTTCTTCATGTCTCTTCTACATCAACATGTGTCCCCTCTTCTTCATGTCTCTTCTACATCAACATGTGTCCCCTCTTCTTCATGTCTCTTCTACATCAACATGTGTCCCCTCTTCTTCATGTCTCTTCTACATCAACATGTGTCCCCTCTTCTTCATGTCTCTTCTACATCAACATGTGTCCCCTCTTCTTCATGTCTCTTCTACATCAACATGTGTCCCCTCTTCTTCATGTCTCTTCTACATCAACATGTGTCCCCTCTCTTCATGTCTCTTCTACATCAACATGTGTCCCCTCTTCTTCATGTCTCTTCTACATCAACATGTGTCCCCTCTTCTTCATGTCTCTTCTACATCAACATGTGTCCCCTCTTCTTCATGTCTCTTCTACATCAACATGTGTCCCCTCTTCTTCATGTCTCTTCTACATCAACATGTGTCCCCTCTTCTTCGTCTCTTCTACATCAACATGTGTCCCCTCTTCTTCATGTCTCTTCTACATCAACATGTGTCCCCTCTTCTTCATGTCTCTTCTACATCAACATGTGTCCCCTCTTCTTCATGTCTCTTCTACATCAACATGTGTCCCCTCTTCTTCATGTCTCTTCTACATCAACATGTGTCCCCTCTTCTTCATGTCTCTTCTACATCAACATGTGTCCCCTCTTCTTCATGTCTCTTCTACATCAACATGTGTCCCCTCTTCTTCATGTCTCTTCTACATCAACATGTGTCCCCTCTTCTTCATGTCTCTTCTACATCAACATGGTCCCCTCTTCTTCATGTCTCTTCTACATCAACATGTGTCCCCTCTTCTTCATGTCTCTTCTACATCAACATGTGTCCCCTCTTCTTCATGTCTCTTCTACATCAACATGTGTCCCCTCTTCTTCATGTCTCTTCTACATCAACATGTGTCCCCTCTTCTTCATGTCTCTTCTACATCAACATGTGTCCCCTCTTCTTCATGTCTCTTCTACATCAACATGTGTCCCCTCTTCTTCATGTCTCTTCTACATCAACATGTGTCCCCTCTTCTTCATGTCTCTTCTACATCAACATGTGTCCCCTCTTCTTCATGTCTCTTCTACATCAACATGTGCCCTCTTCTTCATGTCTCTTCTACATCAACATGTGTCCCCTCTTCTTCATGTCTCTTCTACATCAACATGTGTCCCCTCTTCTTCATGTCTCTTCTACATCAACATGTGTCCCCTCTTCTTCATGTCTCTTCTACATCAACATGTGTCCCCTCTTCTTCATGTCTCTTCTACATCAACATGTGTCCCCTCTTCTTCATGTCTCTTCTACATCAACATGTGTCCCCTCTTCTTCATGTCTCTTCTACATCAACATGTGTCCCCTCTTCTTCATGTCTCTTCTACATCAACATGTGTCCCCTCTTCTTCATGTCTCTTCTACATCAACATGTGTCCACTCTTCTTCAGTCTCTTCTACATCAACCATGTGTCCCCTCTTATCATGTCTCTTCTACATCAACATGTGTCCCCTCTTCTTCATGTCTCTTCTACATCAACATGTGTCCCCTCTTCTTCATGTCTCTTCTACATCAACATGTGTCCCCTCTTCTTCAGTCTCTTCGACATCAACATGTGTCCCCCTCTTCTCACTGTCTCTTCTACATCAACATGTGTCCCCTCTTCTTCATGTCTCTTCTACATCAAACATGTGTCCCTCTTCTTCATGTCTCTTCTACATCAACATGTGTCCCCTCTTCTTCATGTCTCTTCTACATCAACATGTGTCCCCTCTTCTTCATGTCTCTTCTACATCAACATGTGTCCCCTCTTCTTCATGTCTCTCTTACATCAACATGTGTCCCCTCTTCTCCATGTCTCTTCTACATCAACATGTGTCCCCTCTTCTCATGTCTTCTTCTACATCAACATGTGTCCCCTCTTCTTCATGTCTCTTATCACATCACATGTGTCCCCTCTTCTTCACTCTTGCTTCTACATCAACATGTGTCCCCTTCTTCTTCACTGTCTCTTCTACATCAACATGTGTCCCCTCTTTCTCATGTATCATTTCTACATCAACATGTGTCCCATCTTCTTCATGTCTCTTCTACATCAACATGTGTCCCTTCTTCTTCATGTCTCTTCACATCAAGATGTTGTCCCTTCTTCTTCTGTCTCTTCATACATCAACATGTGTCCCCTCTTCCTTCATTGTCTCTTCTACATTCAACATGTGTCCCCTTTTTTTTTCTTCTTCATGTCTCTTCTACCCAACATGTGTCCCCTCTTCTGTCATGTTTTCGTTTCCTACATCAACATGTGTCCCCTATTCTTCATGTATCTTTTCCTACCATCAACATGTGTCCCCTCTTCTTCATGTCTCTTTCTAACATCAACATGTGTCCCCTCTTCTTCATGTCTCTTTCTACATCTAACATGTGTCCCCTCTTCTTCATGTCTCTTCTACATCAACATGTGTCCCCTCTTCTTCATGTCTCTTCTACATCAACATGTGTCCCCTCTTCTTCATGTCTCTTCTACATCAACATGTGTCCCCTCTTCTTCATGTCTCTTCTACATCAACATGTGTCCCCTCTTCTTCATGTCTCTTCTACATCAACATGTGTCCCCTCTTTTCTTCATGTTCCTTCTTTCTACATCAACATGTGTCCCCTCTGTGGAAAGAGACTCTGAAAGTTTCAGGAACAAAGATTCTCTCTCTTTTTGATCCATTTCTATAAAAACCTGTCTGAAAATGAGCTGATCAGATTTTGGCCACTTTATGATGTCATAACGATGTGTTGGCTTGAGTAACCATTAGCCAATCAGCAACCAAGGTAACCCCCCCCCCCCCCCCCCCTTATCACCTGAATCTCCTCCTAGAGCTCCATTGAGTTCTTTGTAACCAAATCTCTCTCAGAGGGGAGTGGGGAGGGGCTCCTTATTTTCATCTAAAGTAACAGACAGAGAATCAGCACTTTGGAAACAGGGCTGAAACAGAGGGGATTATGGGTAATGCTGCAATGATCTGTTTGGTGTTTGGAGCCAAACACTTCAGAGACATGTTCTGTATATATCTGAGACCTATAATATATTGATGAAAATCAATATATTACAGGACCTTTAAGTCCCCTATGATATATGTGACCCGCTCTATCGAAATCTTTCGGAAGGATGGGAAAGTGGATTTGTGTAAAAAACTAGTTTTTCGGGGTTCGGGTGTTTTGTTTGATTTTAAATAAACAAAGTCTTGGTTTTCAGAATATGAAACTTTTATTTCCAAAATCACACAATAAATACATGTGTGAAGCTTGTAAAGGGATGAAGACAGGCACCTCGCACTCTGCTCTTCCACAGCGCCGCCCCCCTCCCTCCCGCTGAAATTATGAATGTAAGGTGTATAGTAATCATAGATAACACGGCAGGGTCCGTTACAGTTCGTTTTCATCTGATTTCCAAATAAAGCAAAGTCTTGGCTTTCAGAATATTAAACTTGTTTCGGCAAATTCAGATGATAAATACAACTTTCATTTCAAACCTTTATTTACCCAGGTGTATCCCATTGAGATCATTGATCTCTTTTTCAAGGGAGACCTGCTCAAGTCGGTTCCACATGAAACATAAAAACATAAATAGAACAACAAAAAGGACATCATTCAGCATCATTACAGGGATTACAATTTACAATAACTATCCACATGAGCAGGTACCAACAGCTTCCGATTGAGTAGCATCCAACCGAGCTTTAAAAACATTTAGTGGCTCCAGATTGCTCAGTTTCCAATTCAATTACAGAGTGTTCCAAGACAGCGGAGCTGCGCATCTAAAAGCTGTCTTCCCTAAGACAGTCCTAGCAGTTGGCACACTTTGAAGCTTGTGACGGCATAATTACAAGCGAGAACGGAGTAACTTAAAGTCACAGCAGGCATAACGACAGCCGGTGTTTCTCGTGAGTGTTTTCCCCGGGAAACAAACACACAAATGCAAAATCTCATACACACACACACACACACACACTCACGAGCTTCAAACCAGACCTGTAATCCAAACGAAAATATTTTCTCTCCGTACTACTTTGATCATTTGCTAATAATCAATCAGATCGATGTATTCCAGAGAGGAGGAAATTTTGAAGGCCTTTTTCTCAAAACGATGACTCGGTGACAGTCATTATATAATGTGACATATTTTGCTTAATATTTGGAGTACAACAACAATCCTGATATCATTAGAAAGCTACAGCAACTCAACTACATACAACTCAACATGTGTCTTCGGGTCAATGCGACTGACTTCGATAGAGCAGGTCACATATGTGCTTAGATTGAGTCTCCTTTCTTTGACTAATACTCACGTGTTCCTCCTTCAGACGGTCAGTTGGAGTACGGAGAAGACGTCGGGGTGACGGCGGTCGCTCTCTACGATTACCAAGCAGGTGAGACCGAACGCTGGGAGCAGATCAGAAAGAGTGGTCGTTGTTATAGTCTTATTCTTTGCCCCTATAAATACTATACTATTTATCTAATATATCATATTCCAATTACTTTTATATAGACTCTTCTTGCACTATTTCTATTCTATTTTATTTGTATTTACTTGCACTATTGTATCTGTTTTGTTGTGTTGCTCTGTTGGAGGAGCCTGGGACCTAAGATTTACATACAGACAACCTCACTGTAGCTATGCACACAGACACTGTAGCTATGCACACAGACACTGTAGCTATGCACACAGACACTGTAGCTATGCACACAGACACTGTAGCTATGCACACAGACACTGTAGCTATGCACACAGACACTGTAGCTATGCACACAGACACTGTAGCTATGCACACAGACACTGTAGCTATGCACACAGACACTGTAGCTATGCACACAGACACTGTAGCTATGCACACAGACACTGTAGCTATGCACACAGACACTGTAGCTATGCACACAGGACAATAAAAGCCTTGAATCTTGAATTCAAAGGTTTAATTGTCGGCAATGGAAATGAAGAATTTAAAGCCCCACCTCCTGCCAGAAGTGCAACATTAAAGGTGGGGTCGGTAATTCACTTCAGAAACACTTGTTATATTCCATGGAATGCTCTTAACATCCCGATAGCAATGAATACATTAAATGCTTTGACAATAAATACATAAAGAAATGTCATCAGTGGAAGCCGTGGCGCTGTAAAAAGCACGACCAATCATCTGAGCCGGCTAAAGTAACTGGATGGCCTACCTGCCTGTCAGCCTTCCATCTGTGCACAAACGTATCTCGTGCCCTCATTGGTCATGTGCGCGTTCCTGTGTGTTGGAGGAGGGGCTCTGTGAGGAAGTCTGAAGGAAGGGGCAGATTTGTTTCAGTTGTGTATTTTCAAATTCTAGCGCACTCGAGCTGGTTTCTCCATTCTTACCTACTCTACCTTTAAGACATAAACGTATTTATTACTTACTTAATATGACAGGTGCACTACAGGACCTCCAACAGTAACGTACGAACATTTAAAATGACTTTTTAAATATATATTTGTATTTACTTGCATTATTTTATCTGTTTTATTGTGTTGCACTGTTAGAGGAGCTTGTAACCTAAGATTGTCATCGTCATGACTACACTGTAGCTATGTACGCATGACCAATAAAAGCCTTGAACCTTGAATCTGAAAAATACATTGAGTCCAAATGTTTTCCCGTTTCAGCCGGCGAGGACGAGATTTCCTTCGACCCCGACGACATCATCACAAACATCGAGATGATCGACGAGGGTTGGTGGCGAGGCGTCTGCGGAGGAGCGTACGGCCTCTTCCCCGCTAACTATGTGGAAGTGAGGCAGTGAGAACAAGGAAGGACAGAGGAAGGAGACGCCCCCTCTTCACACCTCTGTCTTCAACTCATCGTACTGCAATATCCATAATCTTTTGCTCCTTTGCCATCCTTCCACCTTTCCCCCTTTGGATGAGTTACCTTTCCTCGATGCAAAGAGAATATATTAATAATGATCTGCTCAAAATGCAACATGTGAGTGATTCACCTCCTGCCTCACCGTTGCACTTTGAAGCTTATATTTTCATATTAGAGTCAAGGTATTGTTGCTTCTTCACACACATCTACCGTTATGTAAGCAGTAGAAGGTTAAAGTGGGGGATTTAGATTATTCTCTATGCCGACATACTGTCCGTGGACCAAACAACTGAAAAACCCCTTTTAGTGTGTCTGCGTAAAGTTAGCAGGAGTTTAAATTCCCTTTCTTATTAAACACTAAACTTCATTTAGTACAACTTCTTTCTCCTTTTCTTGCAACGTTATTATAAAACCATGATAATAAAGTTTCCTACTATGCTGAATTGTTAGCAAAATAATGGGGCCAAAATCACAAGCGTAACAGAAATATTTCGTACATAAAGTATTATTTTAATCATCTTCAAACATTATGTACGTACAGAGAGAACATGATTTATGGCGCTTTGAGAACAAATATGTGTGTGTGTGTGTGTATGCTTGGGGGTGTTTCTTCGTCTAATAATATGTTGAATTAAAGATTAGAAATGTATATGAGGCTGTTGTTTGGGTTTATTTTCTCCAAACACTTATTAATTATTTCAGACTGTTTTGCAGTAGTGTAGCTTGAACAAGTATGTGTGTCTGAATGTATGTGTGTGTGTGTGTGTGTGTGTGTGTGTGTGTGTGTGTGTGTGTTTCATGAAATTCATCTTCGGGGTTTTTATAATGGAAAAAAAAGTGACCTTTTCAAATGCATTATTTGTATTGTCTGTACTTCTGTTTGCTCGACACATCATTACCTGCTTGTTCTTTTTTTTTGTTTCAATAAATAAAGAATATGAATTATTCTTGCTTGTTTCTGCGGCCCTTATTTCGAGGACTTACGGCTGTTAATGAACATTACTGTCAGTTTTGAAAGTTATTTTTTATAACGGCAAAATGGGGAAACAAAAGTTATAGTAGGTAGAAAAAAAGCAATGGCATAGACATAGGACGTCTTAAAAAAAGTCATAGTATGTCGTAAAACAGTTAAAAGTCAAGGTCCAGTATGCCCAGTAACCCTCCTATTGTTTTCGTGTTCCTCCCCTTACTTTGCCGACACATACATAAGGGGGGGAAACACATCTAGTGTATGTGTGTGTTTTATCCATAGACTGTATATTTATCCATGGTTGTATCTGATCCGGATGGTTACTAATTCCTTTTCTTTATGGCGGTCATGTTTGACCGGGAACACCATGGTGTTACAAAGTTGACTAAATAATCATCCAAAATGCAATGAAAGTGGTGATCAGCAATTGTATATGTTCAAATGTCTACTGTGAAGGATATCATGAAGCCTTAATGCAATCGAATGTAAAACAAAAAAGTTATGACTGATGAAAGTAGTAAATCGGTCAGATTTGACCCGAAGACAACAGGAGGGTTAAAATGTTGGAAAAGCATGTTAAAGAAAGGTGAAAAAAGTCCTAGCATAAGATGACTTTACTTCAATCAGGAGAGACGGTTTTGATGTAAGAACACATATTTATTGCCAGGAATGCACAAATGGATGTTATGGAGTTTTGGCGATTAGGCCCCGTTGTGCAGGAGTATCATTCGGGAGGGGAGAACCGATCCGATGAAACCCCCCGGGGTCTAGACACAGGTAGTTTGGTTCGGTCTGAAGGGGAGGGGCTTAGCTTGACCCTGGATTCAGAGGGACAGGAGGTGAAAAGTGGGGGAGGAGGGCTGCGTCGAGTCACCTGAAATGAGTAAATGAATGAGAAAAGACGGTCTTCCTGGTTGAACTTGCGCTGAGCTTCATAAATCATAGTATGTGTAATAAAGTCAAGAAAATTCATCGTATAGTATGTTTTAATTATTTTCAAAATAAGCCATAGTATTGTGTGAAAGTTATAGTAGGCCTATAGCATATCGTGAACAGTTTAAAGAAAGTCATTGTCCAGTATATTGAAAAAAAGAAAAAGGTCATAGTATATAGTAGATCGTATAAAATCATAGAATGTCGTAAAAACATAAAAACATCATATAGTTTGAAGTAATAAGTACAAAAAAGTCGTAAAATATTAAGTTGTTAATGAAAGAAAAGTGGTAAAAAAAATGTACTAAAGTATTGCAAATGTTTCATTTTCAAATCATAATACAGTATTTTGTAAAAAAACAAAACGTAATAGTATGACTATATTCTTTTGCAAAAATATATATGTTTTAATATATTTAGCTGAATAAATGAATATAAAACGAGAGACATGAAAGACAGAGGGATACAACACTAGTGCAATATTATATTTATTTCTTACAGTGAATTTTGGTTGCCATACAAGAAGTCTCGAGGATCTGAGTGGGGGGGGGGGCGAGGGGGAGGAAGAGTGCAGTTACAGGAAAACTCTCTTCTTCATCATCAGTAATTAGTTTGACTCTATGATGATTCAGTAGCACAAAATTACAGCAACATAGAAAACATGAACACAAGTCTCTGCACAAATTACCGAAGAAATCTTAGCCTCTATGAAGACTTAATCAAAGAATAACATCTATTCATGAGGAAATTAAGAAAGAATAAAACCCCAGATGTTGGACGAAGATGAGGGTGGGATCAGTGTTTTGAGGGGGGGGAGTGGTGAAGCTTTTTAAAGATTGTTTGTTACTACATCTACTCAGCCACCACTAGTCTTTTTGGTGGATTTATGTATGTATACATATATATACATTTCATATAATTTCCTAACAAGATGGCCTGCATGTATATCTTAAAAATAATTTACACATTGTTGCTCTTTTTTTTAAAACACACACTCTAAATTCAACGGGGAGATGAGAGAAGTCAGGCAGATGTTTGTCCGAAGATACCTGGATAAATATTCACTTTATCATCCAAAACATATCTCAAAGGGGACGTATCAACAACTAACTTTTTAATACTTGTGCACGTACGTCCGGGCATCGTGGACTTAATGCTGACAACTTTTACTTAATTTAAGTTGTATTACTGTAATGTATAAACACAAGTCCTGCAGTGTAATAGTAGTGCATTAAAAGTGCAATATGTGCCAATGAAATAGTAGTGTTTATGTATGAAGTAGCAGATAAGTACTTTCAATAAAGTATAATATCAATGGTCACCACTGCCGGGTCAGAAAACTACAGGATGTCACATTCAGAATTGAACGCCTTTGGACGCCACCCATTTCTTGCGAGCCAATCAAAACAAGTCTTTCTTTTAGGAGTTGTTCTTAAACGACAGGCGTTAAAATGTAGTGTTTCAAACAGAGAGAGAATACAGCTGTTTTCAGACTTCTAGCATGTCTTTTTTGATCATTAAAGCATGTAAACATGTTCTAGTAGCAACCCAGATTACAAATCTAAACGTGAAAATGAGCACGATATGTCCCCTTTAAGTATCTACTTACGTCATCACTTCATTCATTAAAACACTGACATTTGATCATGATATGTAACTTTAAAATGGGAAAATAAAACACAACCAAGGAGATTCATTCAGAATAAATATTGCTTCTTACATAACCCATAAGTCTAATAATAATCATCATAATAATAATAATATCCACGATTTTTATCTATATCGTTTTTGTTGGCAATCCACGCGTCAGTGTTGAACAGTTTTTGTTCAGATAACCTCTATAAAATGTCATAGAACTTTATACAAATCTTTAAAAATACTGTGCTTTTCTACCCCTGTCGACACGTCGCTGTTTGCTCTTAAAATAAGTTTCATGTTCAAACAGGAACAGGATTATAGCAGCATTGTCCCGTGCTAATGTTCACAGAACACAGAGCTTGTGTATGTCTCATTGTCTCCTCGAAAGTGTGATATGAAACCTAAATAAGGGTGAACTTCTAAAACAATATATTTATTTTCAGACGTTGGGTTACTGTCGAGCACATATCGAACCACACGTGAGGTGCGCTCTGAAAGAATCTACTTTGAGATGAAAACACAAGCTCCTTTTTCTCTATGGAGCTAAACACTGGACAGTGGTGCAGGTACAGTGAGGGGGGAGGGGGGTTTGTGAGCGTATTTAAGGCATCCTTTTTAGGATGGGGGGCAAGCGAGACCAGGTCAACTCTGGCAACTATAAATCAATCTTCATAGAATTTTTTTTGTTTTACTCTAAACCTTTTTTAATAGAGCTATACATATAATCAAATAGACATTTTATTATCCTGTTAAACAATCTTATATACACGTTTCAACACATACTGTACTTCTACTCCAGCCATTTGCTAGCAAACACACACATTTCCAGCTTTATAAATGCTGATTTTGTTTGAAATTGGACCCTTAAAATAAAGTTTAAATCCCTTCTCTACTGCAGGGAGACAGATAAGAATAAGGGACTTGGAGAAGCTTAGTTACAGCGACTGAAGTTCATCTGCAACGGATCAGAAAACACTTTCTATCCCTTTGTAATCTCGCGCTGATGAACATCTGCCGCCTCTGTCAGGTTGCTCTCTGCTTATTTTCTGCACAGAGGAAATGTGGATTTACGTTAAATCGTAATTTGTCATAAAACCCTGACGCTGCAGAATCTCCGTCTGCTCTTAAAGCTTCGGGAGATTTCACGCCATGTGTTTGAAGTTGTCTTACAAGGAATAAAACGTGTTGATGTAAGGGGCGCCAGTTAACAGCTTTGTTAACGCGGTGTTGCATTTATCTCCTTCTTCACGATAAGAAAACACTCTTTCGAAGGTAGTTTCGATCTAAGACAGTATTTCCCTTTGACTTTTCCCAGTTTAGGATGCTTGTTTGGGATCTAGTTGAAGTTTAGCTCGAGTTAGCTTAATGCTAACAATTCTGTTCTTAATCTCATCGCTCTTTTTTTAATAAACAACATATAAAATGTTCAGGTAGTCATTTAGCTATATAGGAAACAAGTAATGTATCTGTTAAAACTGGAGTTTTAGCTCTTAAAATGTCAACCTGTGAGTTATTAATAATTAGGTTGCTTATAAATTGTGTCATTTAAAATGGTTGAAAGCTAAAAATGCCTCCAAAAGGGTTTAACACTGGCTTCAAAGTCAATAAAATGCTATCGAGCGACAGCCTTAAAAAGTTGGAGAGAAGAAAACGCTTTTTCATTTTTTTGTTGAGTTTGATGAGATCAATCTTATGTGAAAATGGAGCTAAGAGACGATTAGCTTAGCTGTAGCTACCAGTCAGAGTAGTGCTTTGAGCTAAATGTTAAACAACCATAACAACCGTTGCCAATGTTACTGTACAATGTGGTTTCATTTCCTGTTACCCAAGTGGGCAGATTTGGTGATATTAACATAATGTTTAACTAACTATTAGATATTAACAGCTAACAGCCAGATTTAGCATTACAAAAAATAGCTAGCTAGGGAGTTGGCAAACTTTGTTGACGTTCTTGCAATAGGCAGAGACAAAGCTCATTTCATCCTCAGTTGTCCGTCTGAAAAATGCCATTTTACTGTCATTATGTTCAGAAGATATGTTGCTTTTGACAAATGGGTTCAATATTTAAAGATATACCTGGTTCAACAATTCAGTTCATGCTAATGTGCTAGTTAGCACTTGCAAAGCTAAATAGGGATGTCAATAGTGTAACTTTTAAATTATATATTTTAATGTTGACTTGATTGCATGTAGATAAATGGTTTTAATCAAAACAAATCTGCTATTTAGCTTTTTAGCAAGCAATAGCAATTGGTGCCATTATTAGCATAATTTATTATACACACAGACATTGGTGCATTATGAAAGAGGAAGGAAAGGTTGGTGCTTTTGAGCTGCACGGGCCAATCAAAACGTTGTGTGGATGCAATCAATCAATCTGATTTGAGTATTTATGCTAAGCTAATTGTCTCCAGCTTCATATTGTGTGCAGACGCGACAATGGGGTCAGTCTTCTCATTAAACTCGTGGCAAGAAAGCGAATAAGCGTATCTCACATGTCTCACTGTTTCTTTAAATGCTCTCTTTAAAAAACCTCATCTTCTACCACTACACACAGGTGTTTGATACATTAGCGTTACCGCGGGGCCACATGAGTGTCGACCTGCTAATGGTGAAGTGGAAGGAGATTCGACAATGGAGAAGAAAGTAAAGTAAAAAAGTAAAGAACAGCTCTAGTTTCTCTATACTGTGGCCTATATAGCGGATCTGTGGAAAAAAGCTAAACTGGCCTTCAGGATATTTTGGGTCAACCAGTGACACACTCACACACACTCACCCACACTCATACACACACACAACTATAAGGTAAAGAGGGACAGGGACGCCCTTTGCAGACAGACAAACCATTTCAAGGTGAGAATTATTCTGGTACAACGTTTGTCTGTCCGTGTTGTTCCTCGTGTCCTTCGCTCGGTTTTTCTTGTACGCTGGGTTATCACCTCTCTCCACGCGTTGCTCTCTCTCAGGAGAAGAAGGCCATCGCAGTAACGGTGTGTGTACATGCTGAGGGTGTGAAGACAGTGTGTATTCTCGTTTGTCAGTGTGTGGCGTTGTGCATAAAGTGTGTGTGTGTGTGTGTGTGCATGGAAATGTACTATTTATTTAAACACGTCAGCTAAAGTTCTTATTTTGACACAAACAAGTGAAAAGCAAAGGAAAAACATGGAGTCTATCTCAAATTGTTCTCTACAACCTTAGATGCACCCAGAAATATAACTCCGGTTGGACTCTAGTGAAGAAATATTATCTCTGAACAAACTCTAGCAAAGATAGAAAAGGAGCAACGACCAGCTCAGCTGGTTTCATGCACCCACTGCGGGTGAATGGAAAAAGTGTTCAGTATTCCAAAGCAGGTGTCAGCACGAGTCTGTGTGTGAAATCACTTCCAGACGGGTATTTTTCCAGCGTTTGAGACACTATTCCAGAGTTTCTGGTCAATCCTTCCTTGATGTGACATAGCAGCGTGTCTCTTCTCTCCCCCCTCAGTTCAAGAAGAGCACTGAGACGAGGGAGGACGAGAGGACAAAGACAGCAGGAGGCAGCATCAGCTCGGACCAAACTTCTTGAGATAACGTCTGATGGAGATGGAGACGGAGAGTCGGGGATGTTTGACCCCCGTTTCCTCCCTCTCCTCAGCCCCCCCCCTCCCTCCTCTCCTCTGGGTTTATCTGTCCTGCAGCAGCTTCAGGGCCCTCTCGATGTTCATGCGGTGTCCCACCCTGGTGACGCCCAGGTCTATGAGGTCTTCTTTCTGCAGCGACAGCAGGTGTGCGCCCTCGATCTCGTTGTCCAGGAAGGCGTCGCGGTGCTCCCCCAGATTCAGACTCTCCAGCCAGTCGGCCACGTCCAGTTTGCTCCACAGCTCCATGGGTTTGGAGGCGAAAGGTTTCCCAGACGCTGCCACGGCCTGAAGGAGAGTGAGAGGAGACGGGGAGCGAGAACTTACACTTCCTCCACACGAGGAGCTGAGACTGTAGCCTCCGCCGCTGCCCATGGGGGGGGTGGGGAGCCCGAAGACGTCGGTGAGGGAGGGCGAAACGGAGGGAGGCAGGGAGGAGCAGGGCGTGAGGGAGGAGGCGGAGTCAGGGGGGCTGCAGGGGAGCGTCTGGGAGGGGAGGCTGCTGGGGGGGGGCGAGGCCATGGGGGTCGCCGCGTTACGCATCCCTGAGTCGTCTGCTGGAGGCCTGCGGGGGGGGGGGGAGAGAGGGGAGGTTAGTCAAAGTCAACTTTATTGTCAATCTTTCAGTTTGTGTGTACAGGCAGAGAGATCGAAATTCAGTTTCCCACAATCCCGAATACAAAAACAGAGATATATAAAAATATGTATAAGAAAGTAGAAAGAAAGGGAGGCGATAGAAAACTATTTCTGCTAAAAAGTTATCAACGATTGAGACATAAACATTTCAGATGTGTGTATGTCACACTGTCACTTTAACTCATGTACCTTTGCTTTCAAATTTGTGTTTTGAAATGCCATTTTATAACATGTTTTCTAATGTCTTTCATGTTTGTAAAGCACTTTGAATGGCCTTGTGTTGAAAGGTGCGATATAAATAAACGTGCCTTAAAGCTTTTTGCATATTTCTTTATTTGAAATATTGCATTGTTTTGCATATTTCTTTCTGAATGAAAACGTTCAACATTTTTCTGACATTCTATCTCAGTTGTGTCTCACACTCCTGAGGGAGAGAGGAGACCATGCTTAGTGGCTGTATTTTACAAAACAATATTCAATTTCATATCGTTATAAAGATTTTTAATGATTTTCTAGCTTTGCATTGTTTTCATATTAATTGCAGAAACGTTCCTTTTGCATAAAGGAATTACATTCTGACATTCTCTCACATGTAATTGCTCCTCAGCTGCGAGATGTGAAGGGAAGAGGTACATATATATTTGTACATATAGGCGCAAAGTTAAATGTATTTGTAAGCAAATTATTATTTCTACATGCAACATATAATGAGGTGGTTTGATCTGGTTTATGGCAAATCCGGGAAAACACTGATTTCCATTTCCCCTCTTTTCTGACATTATACAAACCCATTGAGATGTATTAATCTACAAGGGAACAGACAGATTAAAGGACAATGCAAATAGTCTTTTGCAACCCAGGTCTGGCACTATTTTCCGCGCAAGCACTTTAATAAATAAAAATAAGAACGAGTTAAAACAACAGCTGGCTGGAAAATAAGAAGACATATGGGATCCTTCAAATGTAATATAGAGATGTTATGAGTTAAGATGGAAGACTCTTTGTTTCAGGAGTCCTGAGAGAGAGTTGCTCATTAAACCAAAACAACAGATAAAGATGTATCATTTCATTTCTTCAAGGGTTTAATGCTGCAAAGTGAACAGTAGGTGGCGCCACATGCAAACATTTCTACCCAAACTGCATCAGCTGATACTCAGGATGTCAAACCAGGACTCGGCTTTTTAGGTTTTAATCTCTATCAACAAGTTATTTACTGCATAATAAAAATGTGCACCTCGTAGTGTGATTAACATAATACATTCATTTGTAACGCTGTAAATACACAATGCTGTATCTCTGTTGATCAGGGGTGTCAAACTCAAGGCATACACTTCATTTGATGTGGCCCGCAAGAGCTTGCAAATAATATAATACGTTTATTATATGGTCACATGCCACTTTACAGAAGCAGGTTGCCCATAAACTACATGCCCCACAATGCATCTCATTTTGTGACATGCGCACTGAAGAGACTTGCAATTATTTGCCGTGGACTTCTGCTTTCAGACGTAGTTATTTATGAAGTTAATATCCTATCAGATAATAATCCAACGCAGAGGCAATCATGTACATACATTATTTTATGTTTATTATATATTGATATAGTTACAACCGGCCCTTTGAGTGCAACCATAATGCTGAAGTGGCCCGTGATGAAAATGAGTTTGATACCCCTGCTGTTTATTCAATAAACTGTTAAGCATACTGATTATGTTTAGAGGGTACAGGTCACATTACTGGAACATTAATCTAATGATTAAAACTGTTTTATTAAAGTAGTCTACCCACACACACTCTGACATTTCACATGAAGGGCTTCAAAGATCAGACGATCTCAATTAGTGAAGTGTCTTTATAAAGTGATGTGTGTCAGAATTTAGCATCAAATGTTCGTCCTTATTTATAATCAGGTACAAGGAATATGGAGTCAAATATACAGTATTATTCGACTAATAATTATTGTGTTTATTGGACAATTACATTCTTGTTTTTATAGAAATATCTTTATGTTAAATCTTTCAGCAACTACTTGTGTCTTAATTCTTTGCCTAAAACTAACTGGAAATGTTTTAATTTAACATGAAAATTACTAATCAGCAGAACTTAAAAAGCAGCGTCTGTATTTTAAGTATTTTCTAAATCAGATAAAGCTGTTTCTGCTTTGTTTTCCCCTTAACTTAAGGGGGTTTCAAGCCTATAAAGCAGTAGCGTCTTACAGCTGTGAGTATGTTCAATGTTTTATTTCACGCATGTGATATAATGAGTGTAACACAGACGTGCAGAGTGCCGCCTGCAGGTAGAAGAGGCTACTAATGGAGGCATGTGTGCAACAACATCCTGTTTAGCTTTTATTTATAGTCCTTACAGTAGCCTATGACGGTGAGCAGGATAACACTTTATTTAGTTTATTTAGCATGAGAAGGAAACATGTCTATGATGTGTTTTGCTCAAAATACAAACAAATCATGCATTTTAGAAATCCCTCATACCCCTCTATTCCAGCCCTGTTTAGAGAAACACGGATTTAGGGTCCTTAATTTAAAGAAAAGAAAGGAGGCGGAGCTAATGCCTGATCAGAATTCTACCGGAGATAAAGTAAAATTCTGCTGTGATAAAACGCCATCCTGTTTAAACCACATCAAGGATTATTTCTGAAACAGTATGGAGCTCAAATGCTTTTTCTTGCGGGTTTATCACAAGGTGAGTTCCTTTTTTTATTTCCTGCTTTTCAAACACATGTGCTCTCCAGTACAGGTTAGCTCTGAGTGTTAGCGAGGCTTGCTAATGTAAACAAAGACGAGATCACGTCCAAAATACGTCAGGCATTGTTTCTGATAGCAACTATCTGTGGGTCCGCTGCCGATTTTACATCATATCTGCAGCAAATCTGTATCCGCTCGTTGTACCCTGTTTTTAAAAGATTTGGGTACGGAGGAAACGAGAGAGGGTTTTATTTTCTGACGCTGCGTGAGTTCCCCGACACACCGGGGACACATTGATGTTTAAAAGACATCACAAAGTGCATTTTGCATGATAGGTCCCCTTTAATGCTAATTTCACTTATTTGTGCGAGTGAATGATTCCATCTGTTTATTTTATCAAATGTATTCTGGTGCATAGTGATAACTGCAACAGCATTTATTCGCCCTTTTCAAGAAGAAACACTGAGTAATTCTGCAGTCGAGTGTGGACAGTCTGTCACAGGATAAATCTCAGAGGATGATTAATGGGTCAGCAGAAAGGAAAGATAACGTTCTGTTCTCAGTTTGTTTATCTCATGTTAATCTGGTCTTTGTTTTCTTTCTTTTTCTTGAGAAAAACACAAATCAACGACAAAACTAAGCTGTTAAGACATGATGATATAACATGCTCTTGTTTTCATTTAAAAAAAGATCCCAAGACACAACAGAAAAACTACTATTGGGTATGAATTGACAATCTAATATACAACATGTTTCAAAAAAGTTGGACTAATCCGCCGCTGAAAGTAGTCCCCCCTTGTGTAACCGTAGGAACCAGAAAGATTGGACAGGAAGTCACAAAAGAGTTGAGGTAAACAGATTTTTAGTTTTAGTCTCATACCGGGATTATTGACATTCAAGCGTTAAGGTAAATTAGATTTTAGGGTTTTTAGGGCCACTCAGAGTGACATTTAAAACCAATTTTACAAACCCTTTGTGCTATGCTGTTGGGATTCGACAATGCTTCTACATGTCTTAAACATTTTTGGGTGTTTTTATACCAATTCAAGCCTTATCTAGGACTTCGTTTTAGATTGTTTTACATTTGTTGTTGAATTAATCTGGAGGATTTAACATATCATTTGATGGATATGAATTGTTTGTATTTTGAAAACACAAAACCCACATTTCTTTGTTATCACTACATTTTTGCAGGTCGAATTAGCAAAAGGCGAGAAAGTCCCACCACCACGTGCAAAAACACACACAGGAAGAGTGTATTGTGTGTGTGTGAGACATCTCCCTCACATTATCTTCTGCCCCAGATGGATGTGTTGATATATGGAGCAATGACACACACACACACACACACACACACACACACACACACACACACACACACACACACACACACACACACACACACACACACACACACACACACACACACACACACACACACACACACACATCAATCCATGCAGAATAATCACACCTTCCTTCCCCAGAGGATTTCCTTGTCAACACACACTCCTTTAAATCTGACCTCACACTCTTTAATAAGATGCTACATGTAGCCTAGATATCTCCCCTCACCACTTGTAGCATATGGAGCAGCCTGAGGGGAAGTGAAGGGGACAAAAGGGGGTCGCTCTGCCAGAAATGGAACGGGGCCATTGTTACAGCGCCAAACTTACTTCTCAACACCAGCTACTCCACAGGAAGTCAAGTTGGATGGATGAGATGGAGACAAAGGACGTTAGTTGGTGAACACACACACACACACACACACACACACACACACACACACACACACACACACACACACACACACACACACACACACACACACACACACACACACACACACACACACACACGAGATGGAATACAAAGAGGGGAATGCATGGAAGAACAACATATATTTAGGAACGGAGAACCATCTGTCCGCCTTCTGCTTTCACCAAAAAACAACTTTCATTTGGAAGAAATCTCTTTTTGAAAATCGAGTTTTTAATCCTGTTAGCAGGTTAATGTATCTATACATGCTCCAAGACAGATCATCAGGACTGCAACGTATTCATCTATTGCTGTATAACATTTCATAACATAAAGAAAAATGCCCGTCCTATCTTCGCAAAGTGAAAGGTGACGTCTTAAATGTTCAAAGTAATGCACTTTTTTACGACATAAAACAGAGAAAAGCAGCAAATCCACAGAATTGAGAGGCCACAAAACGCATTTTAAG